CCCGCCGTGTGCTCTTTGTCATGATCGGGAAATAACGGAAAAATCCGTCGACAATTCAGTGTGTAAATAATGGCCTAACAATAAGTATGAAAAACGTCAGTCAGCATTTGACTCAATGATAAATTGTATTTGCTGACAAGGTCATTGTATCGACCAAAGAACTTACGAAATGATGACTTTAAACGAGACTGCTGATATTCTTGTTTCATCAACTTATTTGTCAATAATTTACCTCGTTTTAGAAATTGTACATACGTAGAGCATGCTCTTGCGTATCGAATCAACTGAGAGATATATACCCCGTATGCAGGTGATGAAGGTATATTGCTGCATAAGTAAGGGAAGTTGACGATTGAAAAGTTAAAGTCATCACGTTTATCATAAAGCTTGATTGTTATATTACCATTAACGTCTTTTTCAAGTAAAATATCCAAATATGAAACAGATGTGTCAGACTCTGTGGTATCTGTTATCTCAAGTTCACCAGTATATATCGAATCGACATAAGAATGAAAATAGCCATTGTTGATTGACAATACGTCGTCGATATATCTAAATGTCGAGTTAAACGCCACAGCAAGTGTTTTCTTCTTTTCACGTACAAGATTTTGGACAAATTCTGCTTCATATGAATACAAAAAAAAGGTCTGCTAATAACGGGGCGCAATTGGTACCCATAGGTATTCCAATAGATTGTTGGAAGACCTGGTCTCCAAAAACCACATAGATATTGTCAATCAGAAACTCAAGCATCTTTTTAATGTCAACTTCAGAGTACTTGTGTGTACAGTCAGAATGTTTTTAACAAAATAATTTTGCAAATGACCAATGACAAGGTAAGTATATTTACGAGTTCCATTTTTATTGAAAAAAGCAGCTGTCAATGATATCAAGAAGCTGGACTTTAATTTATCGTGGGGAATGGTTGTGTATAAAGTTGAAAAGTCGTAAGTTTTTAAGCTGTTGATTTTGGTAAAATCTTGTGATTTCAAATTTTCCAAAAGTTCCTTGGAATTTTTAAGTGTCCACATCTGATTTACACCACTTCTCGAATATATTGTTGCACAGTACTCTTGAAGTTTCTCCTTCACCACTGTTAATATCTTAATGAGGAGTAAAGATAGAGGCTTGGTTGAACATTTACTGGAACCCGCTATGTATCTTTGTTTGTAAGGATTTTTATGAAGTTTCGGAATCCAATATAAATATGGTAATTCGAATTCATTTTGGTTGTTTGGAATATTAAAAATATTCAAAACTGACTTATGATTTTGAAGAATTTCTTCCTTAGAAAGGGAACTATGAGTATAAGTTGGATTACCACTTGTAGAATTAAATCCAAGTTCCTCTGAAATACATTTAATATAATGAGCCTTACAAACAAAGACAATGTTGTTACCTGCTTTGTCAGCAGGGACCAGTACGTACTGATCATGTAATCTATCTAATTCTTTTTTTCACTTCTCGATTATTGAATACAGAAGGATACATGGTTTTAATATTGCCTCTCAATTTTTTAATGCGCGATTTTAACATACATCTGATATATTTAATCCATTCTGACAAAGTGTCAAGGTCTTCTTTTTCATGTCTGGCCCATCGCCTGGCGTAGTCCTCTACAGAATCCATGATATTTATGAAATTCTTACGCCAGTTGAAGGATCTGGGTTTCCTAAATTTAGGACCTTTTAAAATTAGTGATCTAAGGTCCTCATTATTAACTATATTTACGTCACCAGTAATAACGTGTCCAGCAGGACTATAGTTATAGGGCGAAGAAGAACATGAACACGATGGAGGATTATGTTTCAGATATTCGATATCCACGCCCTGTAAAGTTTTCTTGTAATTAAAAAGTTTGGAAGCAATAGTCGATGTATATTTGTAGGAAATACAAGGTGTAGTCTTTAACTTGAAATATGGTGGAATACAAGACTGGACCCTTTTGTGATTAAGAATATTACTTATATTAACCGCGTAAATTCCTTTGTTGGCATATTGAAGTTTAAGGAAAAAACGGATTGTTTTAGCTGCATTTTCTTCAGTAAAACGCGGGGGTTTAAAAAGCCTATGATTGGCAATATCCATAACTACAGATCCGAGCCTATATTCTGGTGTCGAGGAATCAAAAAATGGACTTTCCTTGACCTTTTCAAGAAGACTATTTAAAAGTTTCAAAGGGACAGAGTAAAGTTTGGTGCGAATATGATGTAGACCTAACTGTTGATTTACGTAAGGTAGTAATGAATCAAAAGAGACATCGTGTATTAAAGGTTTATTGTAAGACCGATGCCCATGAGTACGCTTACGTCTCTGTGTATGGTTAAAACGTCCCATCACATTTACATTGCTACACTGTGGACTGGAAAGATTTCCAACACTATCGACATTGTCATTACATCCATTGGGAAAGGCTGTCCCTAGCTTTCTTATCTAAAATTCTTCTCGTTGTCTACGGAAAGGTGTACTCAGTAATGGACTGTTTGTGTGGTGGTAAATCTTTTCCAGAATTCTAACTTTCATTGACAAAATAGTATGATTAGGTAAATTAAAATGTTTGTATAAAAGTTGCTGACCCCCATTATTTATCTGAAATCTATGACCTGATGTTCTTTTATTGAGTGATCCCTTGGTTTCACCAACATAAACAAGTCCACAAAGATTACATTCTATTCCGTAGACAACATTAGAAGATTTGCAGTTCAGATTTTCCCAAGTTTTGGTACAGAAGCTCTGTCCAGTAAGATTACTGGTGAAAGAAGTGTTAGTTATCAAAATGTCATAGGTTTTACAGTTTTTCGCAGAACATTTTGAAATAGAAGACATGGGATCGGAAAAGGAGTCTTCAAATATATCTCTAATAGAAACTTTACATTCTTTCAATTGTTTGTATGAACTATTGGTTTTATACCAAAACTGGGAATCTGAAGACTGTACATATGACATATGTTTAATATCCCTGAGGATTATCCGAGGGGCACCGAATGAACTCCTTGAGTCTGTGTCCCTTATAGACTCAAAAGAGTGACGCCTTTTTATACTGGGCGACGCGTCTGCCAGTATCATTTCGTTATTCTGTGTACTCATGAATGAATAGGTACCGAACGACAAGTATCCTTGGGGACAGACTGTCCACCAGCAGAGATACATGTTCGGTGGTTAAAATAAAATATATGGAGATAACGAACAGTTTTCAAGCTCAAAAGTTCATTATACAATACAAAATAGGAGCAGAGCAAACACGGACCTCCAAACATCAGAGGTGGGATCAGGTGCCATGTAAAAAATAACCTTGAATTGAAAACTGCTGCTGATGTTCAAAAATTATATCTGCTTTTTATAGCATATTTTCCTGCTATATAATTGTGATTATATCTGTTTTTATAGCATATTTTCCTGCTATATAATTGTGATATAATCAATATAAGATAACGTCATTTTATTTTATCCATTGAAGTTTTGATTGTATCTTCAAAAATCAGGTAGTCAGGGGTTTTTTTCCCAAAAATGGATCATGGATGTTTTTGAACTAAACAATACAAGCAGAAAATCTCCAAAATCACTAAATTCTAGTGCATAAGATTTTGAAAAAAGAAGTACTCATATGAAAATCATCTTTCTAAGGAGCAGATTTTTTGAATGATGTAAAAATATATACCATACAGGACTTCAAAGACAAAATGACGATGCTAACTTTAAAACATTGCGGCTTTTTCGAACACAAAAAAAATAACCTTGAATTGAAAACTGCTGCTGATGTTCAAACTTTAAAAATACCTGTCTTAAAAAGATAATTGATTCAGCATTACTTCAAATTTCATATTGATAAATTTGCTTGGTTATGTGGTTTTCATTTTTGCAAAATTTTTCTTACATTAATACTGTGTAACTTTATATTGAATTCGCAAAGTCGGGACATGTTTGCTGAAACACCCTGTATAACCTATCATTCGGTCATATTTTGCCTGACTTGTTTCACACAAATTGTCAGACTTTTGTTTTTACACTGAATTTAACTACAGAATGTTCCGTGTACTTGATCAATAGATAGGACTGACGGCGGGTGTTACTGCATGGGATTGCTTACTCCTCCCACTTGGCACCTACTCCCACCTCTGGAATTTCCCTTGGGCCCGTGCATGAACTCTCCTCACAGATTTGTAGTTTATAAAATTTTTGAGACCGATCTCTATTCGTGATCTTCACCTTTTTGATTAAGCATTAACTACTAAATAGAATATCTGAAAGACAAAATATATATAAAAGGAGATAAAATTTCTCATAATCGAAAACCTTTATCTTTAACGTTATCTTCAAGGTCAACCGTTCAAGACTTACCTCAATTCTCCACAATTTATTGTTTTCAGATATTTCGATTATTTGTAATTATTAATTTTTTTAGGGAGAAATAACTCATTAAAGGAGTTGATATTTTTTATTGGCAGAAAAATAGACAAAAAATCTCAGTTAGCGGAGGACATTTGTTACGGCTTTGAGGAGTAGCGAAAGTAATGTTTTTCATGTGAGGGGCAATGTGTACAAAGGGTATTAGGTCATTGTAAAAAAAAGTTTGTTCAATTGTTTCATTTTGATTTCAGTAGAGCTTTGTTGATTTAATTATGACTACCTTATCTGATTACCGTAGAGGTGTGTGTAAAATGTTAGCTCTTTTCAAAAGGAGTATTATAAGTAACGGGTTAGGTCAGAGTGGTCATTTTAGGGAAGGGTAACAATTAACGGGTGTTTTGTTCTCACGTTTTGTCATGAAACTAACAGGATAGGTCGTAAAGGTTGTATAAACAATCCATATATTTGACAATTTGGTCGTGATAAAAGAATTACAATTTGTCAACGAACATCATGGACAACTCTCGTATACATATTCAATACCCAAATGATATTCTTTGTAATATAACTATGCGAAGATTATTTTTTCTTCCATTTTTCCAGTATTGATTGGAAGCTGAACTTATTTGAGTATTCCTTTGATAATTCATTACCTCAACAAGGAAAATAGTGATCCCAACTCCAAGAATACTACGAGCATTGGACGTTATATTTTGCTCCAACAGATCGACAATAACTTTGTAGCATCCCTATAAGAAAGAAGATGTTTAGAAATTAATTATATGAATATAAGGGTTTAAGGGGAACATTTATACATAGGACCAAAGCTGTTATTACGTTTTTTACCATATGCGTGGAATTGCAATAAGCAAAATGAAATATATGGAGATAACGAACAGTATTCAAGCTCAAAAGTCCATTAAACAATACAAAATAGGAGCAGAGCAAACACGGACCTTCAAACCTCAGAGGTGGGATCCCTTGTAAACACATTGAAAAACACACATTAATTAGATTGTTTTCTTTTCATGAACATTTCAAACTGTTAAAATTATATAAATGCCAATATTGAGTCAGAAATGTAATTTTTAAAGGGATACAGAAAGTATGTAATACATATACATTAATATCCGTTTATAAAAAAAAAATCACAGGACCTCGATTTTTGCTTACTTACAACCCATTTCTTTTTAGATCCGATTAATAAGTAGCACACGGCGGGTGTGACAGGGGATGCTCACTCCTCCATGGCATCTGATCCCACCTCTGATGTTTTAGAGGTCCGTGTTTGCTCTGCTCCATAATTTGTATTTTTAAATGGACTTTTGAGCTTGAATACTGTTCGTTATCTCCATATATTTCATCTGTATAAAGAATTAAGTGAAAAGTATTGTTCAAGGTTTTTAAATGATCAATAATAAGTGAGTTGTTTTTTTTTTTTTTTTTTTTGGGGGGGGGGGGGGGGGGTAGCGAGTTCTTTATAGGTATAGCTTCTTCAAGTAAGTACTTGAAACTTGAATGAGAATAGTACCATTGTTTTATATGATCTAAGATTTTCTTTAAAATGGTACTTGATGAGAATATTACCTTTGTGTTATACGTTCCAGGATTCAAATTGTAGAAACATGATGATGGTGCAGATGTGTAATTAGTTTCAGTGACTCCCACACAGCAAGCCTTAGGAATCTCAGCATTGGTAAGCTGACATTCTCCGCTAGTGGTGCACCAAGGGGTATTGTCAAAATCATTTGTAGTTGACGTCACATTACCAACTGCACAACAGTCCAACTACAAACATTCAAACAACAAGAGACCTATGGGCCACATCTTTCACCTAGGCAAATTGGCTAGGAAAAAGCAAAAATCAGTTCAGTATTGAAACTTTCACGGGGGCAAACTTTAAATTTAAACTTCCTCAGGATGCTTACATATCAATTGAACTAATCATGACTTTGCTGTTCTTGAGCAGAAAATTTTTTAAAGATTTTTTCCTTTATAAGCCTATGTAAATTACTGATTGCTCATTATGGCCCCACCTACCCACCCTAAATTTGAACAACTTTGAATCTTCACTACCTGAGGATCTTTTATAATATTATGACTAATCATGGCTTTGCTGTTCTTGAGCAGAAATTTTTTTACGATGAATCCTATATATTCTTATGTAAAACTTTTAAAAACGGTGCCCCCTTAACTCCCTGGGGGGTCATAATTGTGAACAAACTTGATTCATCAATACCTAAGCTTGCTTCTGTATAAATATGACTAGTGGTGACTTAGATGTTCTTGAGAAATAGATTTTTAAAGATGTTTCTTATATATTCCTATGTAAAAGTTTGACACACCCTACCCCCGGTGGTCATGATTCGAACAAACTTGAATCTACACTACTTGAGGATTCTTCTTTATTAATAAGACTAATTATGGCTAAGTTGTTCTTGAGAAGAAAAATATTTAAAGATATTTTCTATATATTCCTATGTAAAACTTTGGCCCCCTGTTGTGTCTGTGCCCATCCCCTAAGGGTCATGATTTGAATAAGCTTGAATCTACATTACCTGAAGATACTTCTATAATAATATGACTAATCATATCTTTGCTGTTCTCGAGAAGATTTTTAAAGACATTTTCTATATATTCCTATGTAAACCTTCCACCCACTCTTGTGGCCCGGCCCCACCCCCGAGGGTTCTGATATGAACAATTTCAATCTAGAGTATGTAATAAAGCTTTCACATAAGTTTCATCTGTTCTTGCCCAGTGGTTCTTGAGAATAAGATTTTTAAAGGATGCCACCAAATTTTCAGAATTCTTAATTATCTCCCCTTAAAAGAGGGAGTGGCACTTCCTGTGAACAGACTTAAATCCCCTTTGCCTATGAATGCTTTGTTTGCAAGTTTGGTTTCCATTGGCCCAGTGGTTCCTGAGAAGAAGTCGAAAATGTGAGAAGTTTACAGACAACACACGACAGTCGACAGACGGACGCCGGGCAATCTTTGATCAGAAAAGCTCAGGTGAGCTAAAAAGATATTTTTAATCCAATAAGGACGTTTATACCTACAACGTCTTTATCGGTAGCTATCTTAAAAATCGGCTATAGTGTTTACCGGCCATACTGCTGGGATTAGCGATTGGTATTGCAAAGTTAAGTACTTGTTTATTTGCCAAAGTCATAAACTGTATTTTTTATTGTTAGATTTCCATTCCAAATTAACAGAAAGATCTTTTTTTTTTTGTCATTCTTAAATAGCATTATTTTGGTTCAAAATTCTCCTCTCATATATAGTTTTCCAAAATATGAAAGACAGAAACAGACTAAAATCAAACAAATGTTGTTTTTTTTTTTGTTTTTTTTTTTTTCAAAAAAAGGTTCATGCTCTTTTGATCTATGTTATGTTGAAACTGTAAGAGAAATGAAAACATAAAATATACAAACAGATATAAATATCATATTCCATCCGTTGGATATGTCATTACCACTGCTCACTGAATCACTCACAAAGTTTTTATGGAGAGAATCAAGTAACTGATTTTGGAGATTTGACTCAATCTGAAAAAAGTTTAAATCATTCAGTAAAGTTATTATAAAGGACAAGATCAAAAAATCACTGTCTGATTAAAAAACTAAATTCATATAATTTTCATTAACTTCCCTCCTATCCCACTTTATAATTAGCTTCGATATCCTTGGTTAAGTACTGAAAAGTATGATCAAAAAGAAAAACTGTAAATACAAGTTACATAACATGTATAATGCATTTTGGAGCCTTTTCCCGAAGTCCCCCCCCCCCTACCTCTGTCTATTTGAACTTGGTTTTTATCAGAAATTGATCTTTTGATCTTGCCCCTAAATGAATTTAATATAGTTTTCTGACAAATAGTTGTAGTTTGTTGCATTTTTGATATTTTCGTAAAAAAAATTGCTTTGACTCAAACTTTCTTACTTCAAAAGCATAACTTAAATTGGTGGAACAAAAATCATTTCTAAAAAAAAATTATTATATTAATGTATTCATATTTTTTTTTCTTATTTTATTATTTTTTGCTATTATATCAAAGATACTGCTTTTACTATGTGCATCGTTAGAAAAACATTTCAGAAATTCATTTCAGAATTTTTTGTTTAAACCGCATTAATCCTAAGAAAACGTTCATACTTTATTTTTTTTTCTTTAAAAGACTCTTATTAAGCATTGACTTACATCATTCTTCATTGTAAACCACAGAGCAATAGCCACTACCTTTATAACCAATAATACCAATACTAAAACCGCATACTGTAATGTAAGAAATAATTTATGCTTCAATTAAGTAAACCTCAGAACTGTATTTTTGAAAGTTATCGAATAGTTCACACTTTAATTTCATAAAAAATCATAATTATGCAAAAAGGTATACTATAATTTTTAAGTAATGTAATTAATATTTTATAAAGCTAATATCAAATCTGCGTTACGTGCATTAAAAAAAAGTTCACTCTTTGATATTCTCATCCACTGAATAATATCCTCTTTTATTTCTTAAGAATACCACAGTCGTTTATCAATCAAAAAACGTCACTTGTATAGATTTCTTGAACAAAGGCTCTTCCATAATGAAACATTGGAATACATATCAATATTATTATACTTAACTTAATTAATTATACTTTATATTATTATTTATAAAGATACAAATAAAAACAATTAAATGTCATTCTTTGTTTGTTAGTATGGGAATAAACGTTGCAGCTATTGCAGAAAAAATTACATAACCCGCGTAAGCGGCTCAATTACATTAGAAGAAATATGCTTCATATTTTATCAAATTAAGTACCTTTTTCATTAATACAATTAATTATTAATATAATTAAACATACAAGGAGGAAAATTGATAAAACGCAATATCAAAACTGAATTCTGCTGTTAAGAATGAAAATGCAATGCTTTTTTACGTATTTGGATTAGAATTTAAAGGTCAATAGTTTATTGTTATTCAAAAACGATGTAAATGACTTTCAACATAAAATTTGCGAAGTATACAAAAATGCATGTTTAAATTCAAAAGCATAATAATCAGAATGTTTAAGGCTTTATACACGTTATAGAATCATCAAGTCCATAATCAATACAAAATAGGAGCAGAGCAAACACGGACCTCCAAACAACAGAGGTGGGATCAGGTGTCATGGAGGAGAGAGCATCCCCTGCCAACGGGTCACACCCGCCGTGTGCTCTTTGTCATGATCAGGAAACAACGGAAAAATCCGTCGACAATTCAGTGTGCAAACAATGGCTTAACAATTAGTATGGAGAACGTCAGTCAGCATTTGACTCAATGGTAAATTGTATTTGCTGACAAGGTCATTGTATCGACCATACAACTTACGAAATGATGACTTTAAACGAGACTGCTGATATTCTTGTTTCATCAACTTGTTTGTCAAAAATTTAGAAATTGTACATACGTAGATCATGCTCTTGCGTATCGAATCAACTGAGAGATTTAAACCCCATATGCAGGTGATGAAGGTATATTATTGCATAAGTAAGGGAAGTTGACGATTGAAAAGTTAAAGTCATCACGTTTATCATAAAGCTTGATTGTTAGATTGCCATTAACGTCTTTTTCAAGTAAAATATCCAAATATGAAACAGATGTGTCAGACTCTGTGGTATCTTTTATCTCAAGCTCAACGGGATATATCGTATCGACGTAAGAATGGAAATAAATATTGATAATTGACAATACGTTGTCGACAGCAAGTGTTTTCTTCTTTTCACATATAAGATTTTGGACATATTCTGCTTCATATGGATACAAAAATATGTCTGCTAATAACGGGGCGCAATTGGTACCCATGGGAATTCCAACAGATTGTTGGAAGACCTGTTCTCCAAAAACCACATAGATATTGTCAATCAGAAACTCAAGCATCTTTTTAATGTCAACTTAAGGGTACTTGTGTGTACAATCAGAATGTTTTTTAACAAAATAATTTTGCAAATAACCAATGAAAAGGTAAGTAAATCTAGGAGTTCCATTTTTATTGAAAAAAGCAGCTGTCAATGATATCAAAAAGCCCGGACTTTAATTTATCGTGGGGATTCGTTGTGTATTAAGTTGAAATGCCGTAAGTTTTTAAGCTGTTGATTTTGGTAAAATCTTGTGATTTCAAATTTTCCAAAAGTTCCTTGAAATTTGTATTCAAGCTCAAAAGTCCATAAAACATTACAAAATAGGAGCAGAGCAAACAGTCCTGATAATCCCCATATATATATTGATGTCACATTTGTACATAAAGATCGTGATCTAATAGAATTGTTGTACGAGGGTTGTTTGGAAAGTTTGTGGACTATGCCAATCTTCGTTCTACTATCTTCAAGAAATTTTAAATGAGCACATTATCATAAGTAAAAATATTTATTTTGTTCAAGTGTGAAATTTTATTCCATATGATTTAATAGAATTCAATGTATTCAATTTTAAAATCATAACGTTTTGTAACCAGGGAGCAAACTCAACAACACTGTAACGTCAAAAACATACCAAAATGAGGTTCTCAAAAAACTATCCCTATACATTTCACACTGTATTGTCCAATACCAGTGCACTCAGTAAAATCGTTTCTCTATCACTTGAAATCTATTTTGTTAACAATTGTTCCAGTAGCATCATTTTGTTTGTCAATGTTATATTTTTTCACTGCACAAGTGTGCTTTCACAAGATCAGCATCTGTGAAGCGCCAAACTCCTAGCATCATGACGTTACTAACTTTTCAATGTTTCTGATAAGGCTTTTATAGATAATCCGTTTTCTCACAGATCACCATCGTCTAAGCTGAGTAGTCTTTCATTCAAATACCGCTCTGAATGATAAATTTTCACACATGCATGGCTCGCTTTTGACATATTTCCTACTTCCTCCGGCATCTTCAAAGCTTTTTTCTTGAGATTTCCAGAGTACAACACAAAATTGTATGGTTAACTGCTCCGTGACGTTCTACGACGTCATCTTTTTGCCTTTTTCAATGAGACTTCGTATCTTCTGAAACTGATTTCTTTTCAACGAAGCAAAATATTAATTCACAATTTGGAATCAAAAACGATGAAACAATTCTGAATTTGAACGTGTAGATTTTTTCCGTTTTTTGTGTCATGTTACAGAAGATAAGACTTCAGACATTACTCAGTGTCTTGATTGTAAATTACAAAATTCTGACCTGCTCTGTGATCCGATTTTCGCATTTTTAAAGTCTAAATGAGTTTGAAATAAACCATGATATTTTAATTTTTCTTAATACACATCATTTGAGTTTGCTGTTGAAATACTCTTCAAAATTTTGATATAGTATGACGTTAGGTAATGAAGTTATGACGGAACTTTCCGAATAACCCTCGTATATTTGTTGTCTTCATGACATAGCTTTATAGAAATAGCCTTACTTACTACATCATGGAAATAAAGTTTTGTCAAATTTAATAAATGGCACAGTTTATGGTTTAGTCCCTTCTTAAAACCACAAGATGGCTATGTAAATTGAATTCCCCAAATCTTATACTTCATTACGAAAAACATGTAAGATTGGCAAAAACTATTTCATGGTTTTAATCGTTTTAGGAAAATCCATTATTTTTCAGTTTACGATAAACAAACGACAGAGAACTAACTGATTCAAAATAGTATTTGTTAAAACTTTAAATTGTTTTAGTATTACTCACAATCACTAGCAATACTTTATTTTGCTTGCAAGCGCCACATAATCCGAGAGCAGATACCAATAGAATGAATACTCCAGCGACGATAAATAAGATTGACAAGTTGTCAGCTATATTTCCTAAACCAAAATCTCTGGTTTTTACACTGTTAAGGACTGTTTTTGTTTCATCTTTAATTGACGACACATTAGATTTCATGATGGCGCCAATTACTAATACACCTATTCCAAGCATCTGAAAAGTACATATTTGATAATTTATTTTACACTTACACACATTCTAGAAATTCTTCTCTACTCTTATTCAAATATCAAGTGTTTGATTTTTTGCACCGCCAATTCATTTTCAAAAAGAGAAATTGTTTACGATAAAGGCATGATAACGTTAAATTCAAGCATATTAAAGAAATATATTATTAAAAACAAATGTTCATAGATTTTTCATACATATCTACATGTTACACATTTTCAAATATAATGGAAGAAACTTAAATTTGAAAATCATACCATGCACGCCATAATGAATTTCAGCTTGGAAGAGGACTCAAAATGAATATAAAAAATCGTGACAAGCAAACAAAGAATTTAATCAAATTCATAGTAATTTTTGAGTGTGTCGACTGTAAATTGGCTTTGTTCACTAGTGGTGGCCTATAGTGAATACCGACAAAATTATTGAGGAACCACATGTGTAAATTAGTGTGTTTTCCTTAGTAAGTATATATTGCCAAAATAAATTGGGGCAAGCAACCCCACTCTCCTCCGTTCTCAAGAGCCTGCCTTGAGCCACCACTCTTCATACTTACCAAAAACACAGCATTGATGCATATCAATAAAAGTTTGGCTAGCTTCCCTCCACATTCAAGAGGCATGTCTACAGTCTGATAATAAAAAAATTAAAAGACTTCATTTTTCTAGAATGTCAATGCTCTCTATATTGTTGGGAAAAGAAAGTTAGAGAAAGTTTTGGGAGGCCATAAAAAGTTTGCCTTACTACGTACTTACTACAGTTATAAAGCCTGTCACAGAAAGGCTGACTTAGCCATAGTTGTACTGAGTTGTCTGTGTTAGTTGTCCTGGCTGTTTTCCTCAGTGTCCGTCCTTAATATATCTACTACAGTGAGTTTAGTGGTTGAAAGGTTTCCATAAATTGTCCGTCCTGAATAATATAATAAAAGTATATGAGTGAGCCGACTGGGTGTTACATCCTAAACCATCTGCCTCTGATTGTTTAAGGGATTATAAAGCAATAAGTTAGAATTAACTTAGATAGGGTTAAGTTGAATCTGTTTTCAGATTTTGACACACCTCCAATTCGTTTGTATGAATTTTTTTTTTTTTTTTTTAAAAAACTCAAACTCTGAGATTGCGATGGCACAAACCTGGTATTTGGAGGAAATCATTACGCAAAATGACGTGTTTGTACATGCGGTTGTATTTAAGACGAAAAGCATTTATACTTATTTGTGAAATCGCGAAAATCTTGTATGCATACACTGATTCCGGATTAAATGAAAATTTGTTTTCTGTGAAAAAAAATATATTCAGAGCAGGGATTTACTGTATATAACACTCCGAATAACTACATACGAGTCTTAACGAGAGGGATCTTGTATGATTATTAGTCGGCTTTTGGACTTGTTCACGGGCTTGTATTCTTTAAAGAGTTTTTGAATCGATCGCTGTTCGTTGACATCACCTTTTGCATCTATGATATATCTATGCAATAATATAACTAGTTTTGGTGTCGCTGCCTGAAAATATTTATCCATGTATGTATCCTAACTGTTCCTATGTAAAACCTGTACATACCCCCCCCCCCTTCTTGAGCCTTATCTTAGACTTTCGGGCCAATTCAAAACGATATGTCGATATTATATGCCTTAAATATTATAAATGCTATTGATTTTCATGAATGTATTTTCCTTGAATCCTAAGTAAATTCGTAACGTTTCGCTGAGTCCCATTCTTAAGTGTATTGGCTTTAGGAATGTGTGACTGTACAAATTGTCTTTCTGTACACATTGTCGTCGGCGACAATATCTACTACCCTCACTGTACATAATGTCGTCCTTCAGCGACCATTTTTTTAATTTGTGCAGTCCAGCAGTCAGTGTTGGAACTAATTGTAACCAGCGGCAATATTTACATTATTTTGAAGCCTGTGGCAATATGTACCGATGGACGACAATATGCACAGTGAAGGAAGATTCAGATGGTCGCCGGTGACAATATGTACTGAATGAAAATATTTATCGTCACAATCATGCTGCATGAAATAGCCTACGAGACAAGTTGTGAGATTTACACACCAATTCCCTTTAAAAAAAAACTACAAAAAGAATCCTTATGCAACTTTAACTGAGCGACAAAAATATGAGCAGTGTGGCAACGCACTTTGAAAAAAACTAGTTATAATTGTAACGGGACCGTTACAGATGTTCCCCAAACGATCCCCAACTCCCTTTTGGTGTCTAATTTCCTGTAAGCTTCATTAAATAAGGCAATCACGTGTATTGCCGTTTTACGCATTACACATGCGCGCATATGCATGCATGTGCAGGATAACCATGTCATCTCGCCTATACTATAAATTCATCTTAATTCTAAGTATTAATACATTCCATAAAAAAAATATAAAAGTTACGGATATATCAAGTATTTTGGTCATTTAAGTATTGCACGCGCGCGCACGTGCATACATGTTTATTATGACCATGTCATCTTGTCTACACTATCAATATATTCTATAAACAGAGTATCAAAGAATTTCATCAAAAAGTATAAATTTACGACTATATCAAGTATATTGGTCATTTTACGCTTTGCAAGCGCGTGCACGTGCATGCATGCATACCTTAAGGCATTCCTCCTTTAATGAAATTTTAGAAAGAAATTATGCACTGAGTCTTCCCTAGAATCGGAAATCAATCTACAATGTCAGCATTGAAGAAACAATTCTTATTAATGGCTGCTTAAAAAAAATGCACACTGGATTTTTATAGCTTTCTGAATGTTTTAAAGCATATGTATAGTCATCCAGCTTAGTTCAGAAAAAACGTGTAAAACTGGCTAAAATTTTCAGTAAATACATGAATTTCCTAGCTTTTCAGTAATTACATGTATTTCCTAAAACGGCCAGTAAATACATGTATTTACTGAATGGTTTAGGAAATACATGAAATAAACAATATATATATATATATATATATATATATATATATATATATATATATATATATATATATATATAAAGGAATCCCGAGAGTTATTTCACGGAATAAAAGTTGAGGAAAAGTTGAGGAAAAATCATGATATGGATTAATCAAAATGTTAATTGTTAGTTATGCGGGGATAATCAATGCCCATGACCGGTGTGTTTATCAGACAACTAGAGTTACCTATTTTAAGAGACATATAACGATAAATACAGGTCTTTATCTACACTTTTAAATTTTCGATTTGTGGTTATTAGATAATAAAATGGCATTAAAGTAGTGCTCGTAATTGCTGATTAACTACGTAGTATATACTTAAGGACATTGGCAAGGTTCCTGGTTATTGTATAGAATTTTTCAAGAACTTTTGGGTAGGTTTAAATGTACTAAAAAGGCTATATTCTGGATCGTTTTACCTACTAATCCAGCATTCTTTTTTAGATTTTGTCAAATTAGTGTTTTTACAATTCTTAATGCATTTCCTATGTAAAATGTTGATAAAAGGGACCTACATAAATTTTCACCATAATATTTCTTCAAAACCCATTTATTTCATACAGTTTTTGTATTGTATACATTATTGTAACTTCATTTCCTATGACTTCTAGATATTTTGGTTGAAAATGTATATATAGAAAAAAGACATGGACATACCGGCACCGATCATCATTTTTGAGTTGCGTCCCTTAACAGCTAAAATTGGTCAAGTGACTGGTTGATTGTTTTTATCATGTAATTGACTGAATTGATTGAAATACATTGTCGTAAAAATATTGGCATGGATTTATTTTTAACTTTTATTCGTAATTACTAAATGCTGATTCCTTCACACGAGCTAAGAACTGTTCTCAGTCGGCATGGTCGACCTACCTTTCAGCATATGTCACATCTTTGCCCTTCCCAGCATACTGAGCATAACTATGGTAAATGACGACCTGTTTGCTCTTTGTCCCTGAATACAATGTACAACAAAGCCATTACTACTTTTCTTTCTTGCTGTATAGAAGATTCTACCCGTTGAAGGAAGTACACGTGCTTTTGTTTACCTCTATAACATACGCTTTACTGGTTTTCACCGCTTAGAGAATTCTACACGGGAGATCACTCTCAATCACTATTTTACAAGTGAAAAAACCCATGTATTAAACCTTTTTTCTCCGGAAAGCCCTGACTTGCCAATGTCCTTAATAGTAGCCTCATATCCCTTACCCACAACCATATCCACCCCTCAAAAATGATTTTATTTAAAACTACTTCAATTTTTTTCTAGATTTAATAAAAACGTAAATATAGGGAACCTTTTAAAGTTATTTCCCCTATACAGTACTCATTTTTAAGGTGGTTCTCTATAGAGAAATATTTATAAAGATTTTTTTCCAATATATTTGTAGTATGATCGAGTTTGTTTACATTTATCTATTTTGTACCCATCCTATCCATAGGGGTCAGGATTATATTAAAGATGTAAAGATAAATTGACAGCCAGTTAGGAGATGCTTGTATAGTAAGCCTTAATGTGGACCTGGTGTTCTTGGGAAGATCTTTAGGGATATTTCTTGTCTACTACATATATTCTTTGGTTATCTACTATTGCGTCACCAGCATCATGAAGATATGTTTGGAAACTACTGCATTTAATAAGCCAACCTCAACATTAGATATTTAAGTTGATCTTGAAAATATTTTAAAATGCAACCGCTTTTAAAATTTATATTTTTTTATGAGGAGAGGCCCTCGTACTTGTATCATGTAAGTGCAATTTCATATTTTTTTTTTAATGATTATATTCAGACCTTTAAATGTATTTTTAGCACTGTACAATTGAAGGCGTCGTAATAAGTTGCAACTGATAAAAATCTCTTTCAAAACAAAAAATTATCATTTCATTTTTTTATTATCACTTTTTTAAATAAAACAATATTATGATTTCTACGTAAAAACTTTAGAACAAAAGCATCGTTTGGAATTGATTTTGATTTTCAAGTACACAGTCCATTTATAATCTGATATATCTGCATTGTTCATACTGTTTAACCACTCTATCTATAAAAACATACTTCCTCCATAATTAAAGCTTCATATTCGGTCTGTGGTTAGCAAAGATAAAAGGTCTGTTTTGATGATCAAGGTGACGAGTATACCTCATTGACCCGTCATGATCAAAGTCATAAATTAAAGATTTAGTATAAAAAGTATAGTTTCAAAACGTCAGATGGCGCCGATAATTTACTCTTATGCTTCTTATAACCAGAAACTGTCAGAGTGTATTCTTTATCATCTGGAGACAAAGCATGTTTCATCCATCATGTAAATTTTTAGTGCAATTGAGCTTGTTTACACAAAAAAAAATGTTATTATTGATGTTCCGAGAAACATGCGTATAAGCGTTGGAAATATGAAAATGGTGAATATATAAACATTGATTGATCTCCAGAAGTCTACAAAAACAAATCTGTGATAGACATTGTCACAGAGCTATCCCCCAAATTAATTAAATGTAAATAAATGAGAGAGTTAGAAGGTCTGATAAGGTTGCAGGTGCACGACGCAGGCGTTGTAGCCCTGTTTCCCAGGGGTGTCATTTTAGCTAGTTAGAGAGAAAGAGAGTTGAGCAAGCATGAATTTATAATTTGTTAGTGTGTCAGTTCTGTTGTCGTTTGTTTATTATGTTTGATACAATTCTGAGAGATGAAAGTGAGCGTTAGGTTGATTTGTGTGAGAAACTGGGGAGTAAGAGATTTGGTATGGCCATGTCCTGAGAACATGTGAGAAAAGATTGGAGAATGAGTTTGGAAGTCGATGAGAATGGATGTATCTTTTAATTGTGAACTTTTTGTATTACTATAATTATATTGCGTGTGTTGTAAATATGTAAATAAACTATGTAAATAAAAACAATCGTAATTATTAATCAGTGCCAGTGACAGGGGAGGACCCCCGTCACAACATAAAGACGGACCCCTGGAAATTCCAATGCCAGTACAATGCTTACTCCTCTCATCTCTATATTTCACGGCACAACTGGCCGATGTAGGGCTGCAGATTTAGACTTGTACTCGGCACTTTCAGCCTTTCAGCAGTGAGAGATATCTTTTCGTGCCAGCACCTATTGCAGTATGGGACCTCTGTTTACAGTGTCTAATCCGAAGGACCGATGTTCACGTTCCTAAATGGGATTGGAATACTCGACGTAAGGATTGACTCCTTACTCTGCGACTCTAGATCAAACTCTCTTACCAGTGAGCCATGCTGATAGATAAAAAATGAAAAGGAAGTATTTCTCAAGCGTAAACAAAAGACTATTATTATCATTCTTTTGTCTTTCCCAAAACAACATACTTCACTTTTAAATCTTCTTTCTGTGCCTTTATCGATAAAGTAATTTGAAATTATAAATACTTTTTCTAGTACTTACATCCATTTCTTTTGAACATCAGACTTACGTTTCTAAATAGAATAAAAGGTCCTTTTCATTTTCACAAGCTTGCATCATTCGTAACTACTCGGCCATTTTCCGAGTGAGAAATAACTTTTATCATTCATGGAAATGGCCGAGTAGTTACGATTGACGCTTGCATATGTGAACTGATGTAACAATATGGTTTTCCCAATATAATGTTTTGTAACCTAGGCTAAGTTGAAAACAAACATGCCAAATTTAGAAATTAAATTAGTAATGCACATTTTTATACGAAATTTAAATCATATACAGAAAGAATTTTAGACTGTTAGTTATAAAACCTGTTATCGATCCGTTTACTGCAGAAATGCATTCAGGGATACAATAATCAATATCCTGTTGTGTTGAATCGGGCCAATGAGTTAACATAATTTCGTCGAAAACGAAAGTTGTTCTATGCTTTTTAAGGTTCTGTTGCGTTATTTGATATATGCATTGAATAGAATATTAGGAAAGCATTAACAAATATATTTAAATTAATTAATTTAATTTTATGCTTAAATTTATAGTAGCGCTTTTTGACGTCACTGTAAGAATGTTGATTTTGTATTTATGTGTAACTAAACAATATGTTGTCAAACTCCTGAAGATTGAAAATGAAACCGGTAGAGTTTATTTCGATGTTGTGATTTTTTTGATACACGACTACGTGTGTGGATATATATATATATATATATATATATATATATATATATATATATATATATATATATATATATATATATATATATATATATATATATATATACATTGTATACAGTACCAACCAGACCCAACCTGACACAAATCAGTCCCAGAGCAGTCCCGGGGACTGCTTTCTGGGACTCCTAAAGCAGTCCCATAGCGGTCCCAGAGCAGTCCCACAGCGGTCCCAGAGCAGTCCCACAGCAGTCCAACAGCGGTCCCAAAGCAGTCCCGGGGAGATATATATGTTATAATTGATTTTTAAATAAACTTATCCTTTTATATAAAACTTATATTTTTAAATTAGACTTTAAATCAATATCAATTAATCGCAGTATTACTCCTTTAATATCTATAAAACAAATGAGTTTTATATAGAATATGTTTTTGGGGCATTTTATTGAAGAATTCCGCTCCAAAGGAAGATGTGCCAAAGTCTTTTGGGGCTTTTTAATTAGTTTATGAGTTATTTCAGGTATTCAAATGAAAAAAAAATATTAATTTGACAGAAATCTTTGAAAGTCCGGACATATCTTAATAAGAGAGAAAATGAGAAAATGTAAATATAAGCATTGAAGTTTAATTTTTGGATGTCGTCGGTCTTATAACAGGGCCTGTCCGTGCCGACAAATTATCATACCGAGCTAACGCGCGGTATTTAATTAGTCGGCACAGCCAGCTGCTGTAATAGGACCGTTAAATGGCATTCATAATAATTCATCTTGATAAAGGAAATATTTTTTTAGAGTTTCCAGAAAATTTCTATTTTAAAACTGAGATTACATCGCTCATGAAGTTGTAAATACAAATAATTTATATTGTAACATACATTTGTTACTGTCCATGTTTTGCAAATCGCTAAGTAAATATCAATAGCAGGTAAGTGTTTTTATTTGTGCCCGGGAGTCTTTATTGCTTTTAGAAAGAGAAAAAATATTACAAAAATCAAACTTGATTTAACTCATAGTATGAAAATAACTGTGAAATATAAACCATAACTTGTCTAATTTCCGACTTACTTACCAGATTCTTGCGCTCTAGTATACCTATGTTTATTTCACCTTTTAACTTGAGTCAAAGCACAGAAGCTTTAGTCATCTTAAATTAAAGTTTCAAAAATGTTCTTATTGAATCATAATGTTTTTACTGGAAAAAATTAAATTGTTAAGTTTTAGGTAAATCTAATACTAGTAATCAATTGCAAATAAGGATTTTAAAAAGTAATATTACTTTAACTTTCGAATGAAATATATGGAGAAAACGAACAGTATTCAAGCAAAAAACGTCCATTAAACAATACAAAATAGAAGCAGAGCAAACACGAACCTCCAAAACATCAGAGGTGGGATCAGGTGCCACGGAGGAGTGAGCATCTCCTGCCGACCGGTCACACCCGCCGTGTGATCCTTGTCATGATCGGGAAATAACGGGAAAATCCGTCGACAATTCAGTGTGTAAATAATGGCCTAACAATAAGTATGAAAAACGTCAGTCAGCATTTGACTCCATGATAAATTGTATTTGCTGACAAGGTCATTGTATCGACCATAGAACTTACGAAATGATGACTTTAAACGAGACTGCTGATATTCTTGTTTCATCAACTTGTTTGTCAATAATTTACCTTGTTTTAGAAATTGTACATACGTAGAGCATGCTGTTGCGAATATTACCCTTAATACTTTCCAGTGAATAACACAGATATTTACGCTCTTATTCTCAAAAACGCATTCCAGAATGACGATTTGGTAAATTTAAGAATCATAGATGTTTGAAATTGCAATTAATAGAATCATTTCTATCTCAAAAAAAGTGATGAATATTATGTTTGAAATCGATGTTGATTCCTCAAGGACAAGATTTTCATTTATATCTTGACCTAAATGAAACTTTGTTCCTATTTATTAATTTCATTTTTCAAAACGTTTCTTCTTTAGATCTGAAGATAGCAAGGACAAAAGGGCTCAAACTAAGTTATTCATTATCAAATTGACAAGTATTTATATATTTTTTAAAGCTAAAAACTTGTTTACAGAACAGAATATGTGTTAAAACAAGAACCAGACGTTTTATCAATGCAATCTTCTGAATTTATACCATTTCATACATTTTTATCATTAAACTTACTTTTCTTAAAGTCTATGACACTACTTTTTATTTTCACAAGCCCGCAGATGTATTCTGACGTAAACTACAGATGTTTAGTTTAACATTTTACTTTAAAAAATAGAAATTATAGGCTTAAAACAATTTGAACGGGAAGAAACAATATGGATTGACTATGTTTTAAAAACTTGTTAGCGATCCATTTACTGATGCAAGGTATATAAAAATTGCATTAATCAAAATACACCCAAACACAATCACCCCTTCTAATGTGTTGGAACATTTTATTTTTCGGTGTTCTGCAAATTATAAAATCCGAGGAGTTCCCAGTAGCTCTTACAGTAGCTCTGGCGAGATCTAGCGAGACTACAACGAGATAAGGTAAATTATTCACGGAAATGTGGCTAGGAAGTGACTAGCACGTGGAGACATGGTGAACAGAAAAGTTATCTTGCGTTTCATTTTTCACCGCTAAATAATATCTGTACAAATGTACTTCAATCTCTCTTGAATTCATTCAAACGTCAATAAGTATTCCTCATGACATTATTTTCTGCACTTATGTATTGAAATTTCTTTTTGGACAAACATGCTTGCATGGGAACTGGAATTATATTTTCTGGCGTTAGATTAGCAAATGGGGTACCAATATAGCTATCTGAATGAGTTTTTTTTTTTGCATTGTGGGTTACTACGGATACTACAGGAATTTAACGCTTGAAAAAAAAACAAGGCGATCGGAAAGGCACATTGAACATTTTTTCCATGCATTTGCATGCATTTCCATGCTATCCCTTTTTTTATTCTATTATTTCCATGTTCACAATTACAAACAATTCATTTGTAACATGTTAGATAAACTTGGAATTCTAGATTTCTCAAAGTCATACTGAAAGGCTATTTTCGTCTGCATTCCTTTGTTGTACTATCGGTGAATACAATTGTCAGGTGGGTTTCCCGACCAAAAAGCACAGATGATCACGGGTATTGTAATATGAAAAAAAAAACTTTGTTGTCCTTTTAAATGTTTACATGCCTAGGGGATGCTTCTCGTTTTCCTTACCTTGAAGCCCTAGTGTTCTGAACGTGGCACAGACTACATTTTTATATTCATTTTCTAGTTAACGTAATAACAAATTACGAACGCCCGTTGCATCTTTCATAGTTTCTACTCTTTGTATTTTTTCATATAAACAGTTTTTTTTTAATTTTTATTTCTTTGGCAATCCATTTGATATCGATCTTAGATGAGTTGAACCACGTGTTCGAAGTAAAATGTAAACATATAGGTGTCAAGTTAACGTTGCTATTCATTCAATGATTGGTCAATTATTGGTGGTAAGATCCTCTGTGCGTATTAATAACAAAAACCATATAAGGTAAACAAAGGTTTGTCATATACATTTTTTCTACCAGCGTATCGAGGATTTTGGAAAAATTAACACTACTAAGCTCCAATTTTCCCCGTAAATTATTACAAAAGCGAAGATTAATTAAGTAGATTGTGATTTTTTAAATCCCACCCATTTCTGTTTAAAATCGTGAAAATCTTTCAGAAAGTTTTTAAAAGAAACAGATTATAGCAATTTCCTGATTACTGCCAATTTTATTTATAAAACCGGTTCCACCCTATAACCTTTGAATGGGTCAACCTACACCACGTGCCTTGAATTTAAATCACAATAACATTAGAAGGGGTGACAATACTTTTTAAAGTTCCATTTCGATGACTTGCATGCTCTAAATCTTCGATCTGATTGAACGTAACACAGCCACTCACAAGGACACGGATGTAATAATAATGTAAACTAAAAATTACGATTTTTGTTACAACATCAAATGTTTTTTATACAAGTTATCCTCTCTAAACGTTAAATTCAAGATTTAGAAATACATATACTTGTTCAGTTGTTGGAGTTTTGTAACTAGAATTCGTTCCTGAGTTCTGTTTAATTTTACACAAATCAGTAAGTTATCAAGCGACTAGAGTACATATAAAATCTCCGGGGGTCCGTGTTTGCGCCCTCTTCTCCGATTTGCATTGTTTAATGAATTTTTGAGATCGATCACTGTTCGTTATCTTCACCTTTTTTATTTCTCGTTCTAGAAACAGTAAAAGATGTATTATAACTATAATTGGTATTACAAGAACATGGACCATCGTTTTTAGCATTCTTTTTTGGGGAGATAATTTACTCATTTGCAAAGAACCCTTGTACCTACTACTTATTCTGAAATAAAGTCAACAAGTTGCTGCCTTTGAAAATAGTAATAAGCCATTATCACTTGCATATAGAGTTTACGTCTCCCAGCTGTTTCGATACTCACATGCGAACACTGGTTTATATATAGTATAGTCTGTCCCACGGTACCAAGGACCTCACTTTTCGCCTCATATCTCAAAATGTATAAATACCTTGGCCTTCAAACTAGGTTCGATCGATAGATCTTTTTTTTTTCCAAACTTCCTGCATTTACCCGAACCCTCGAGTTCAACCAGTGTATTGACACGGCGGCAAATTCAAAGTCTACGGGGATTTAACATGGTAAACTCGTCCATTAGCGTCAAGATCACGGGGCAGGAGACCAGCTAGCTAGTTTATCGAGGGAGTAGTCGTTCTTTCCAAATTAAAATTACAAAAAATCCTGAAAATTCAACGAAAGTAATTCAGTGTGATTTGGTGAATAACATAAGTATTGTTTTGCATTCAAATATATTTTGACTAGTTTTCTCATAAAATGAGAGAAAATGATCCGAATTCAATGCAGTACAAGTTGTGGATATTGAGGTCACGCATTTCCTCTAGAAACGGATGTTGACATGGTCTGATGCAAGAATGTGTTATTTACAGCTTCATTTGTTGAAAATGTAGTAAGATGGTAAGTTGTTGTCCTTTTCTTTATTTTATACCATACATACACCTAAGAAAGACCTGTTTCAAATGCTAAGAATAAGTCAAAATGTACGCATAAGTGCCCCATAACATGTTACATGTCCAAGAAAGAGAGAGAGAGAAAAAAACGAAAACTGACATTTTATCGACTTATTTCAAATCATAAAACTATTAGGAAAAAAAGAAAGCATACAAATACACCTTTTAATCGTTATGACAATTATTAGAAGCTGGTAGATCTTTATTTATTCATTTAAATGCATAATTATGTAGGTTAATGGTCTACTTTCACTTTGCATTTGGCAGTCACTACCTACATGATCCAAAAGCAAAGTTTACATTTATATATTTACATCCACTGAATATTATTTCCTTTATTTCTTATAAAAACCATTGCCATTAATCAGTCCATAATCAACACTAAGCAAGCCACCTGCATACATTTCTTAAGCAAGGGCTGTTCCATCAATTATGCATACAATGACATACGCATCTATAATACAATATTTAACATATTTAATTTACTTTGAATGTTTTTTTTACAGATATAAATATAAACAATAAAATGTCTTTCTTTGGTTGTTAGTACGGGAATTAACGTCGCAGCTATTGCAGAAAAAAATCACATAACCCGCTTACGCGGGTTATGTATTTTTTCTGCAACAGCTGCGACATTAATTCCCGTACTAACAACCAAAGAAAGCATTTTATTGTTTAAGTGAAGTGTCAGCACCTTGACTATATATAACAAATATTTTGGACACTCAAGATTTTTTCTGAACTTTTTAGTTCTACTAAATAATACTGTTTATTTCTGTTTGTTATCTTCATAATTCATTTTACAGGACTGAGTTCTAAGGGTCTTCTGTTTTTTAACATACTACAGAGCTATCAGATATTGCTAGGTGTATAAATATCTAAATAAATGTTACATGTTGATTGATGTAGTACAGATTTAACTATATTTAAAGGGTTACTTATCTACTGCATGCTTTGCCAAAGAAAATATGATGGAAGAAAATCCACATAATTATCCACTAAAATACTTGCATTGATAAAATTGCATGAAAATCAATAGATGTAATATTTCACCTAGGCACAAGTGCATAGGGTAAATACCAATTATTTGTATTATATTATATTTAAGACATGCTAAAAATATAATTTTGAAACATTAATTACATATATCAGAGATTCACATTATATGTTTTACACCTACTGTTCTACATTTTTTAATATTTTTTTTTTTTTTTGGGGGGGGGGGGGGTGCTTAAGGTTTTACATTAAATGAACTGAATGCAGTAGGTCCTATTTCTCATTTAAAAATGTCAAGTAAAAAATTTCCGAGCGAAATGAACAATGCATTTATTTATCTTTATTTGAGATAATCCACAGAATTTTTCCCCACTATTTGATAAACTTTGTTATTATTATTAATGTCCAATATCCTCAAAATATCCTGTATCTTTTACATAAAGGACAATCAATCCGTGAATGAATCTTTAACACAATTCATGTTTCACATTATACAAATTCTCTCATGTGTGACTTTTTTGTCTCTCTGTGTTTACAATTTTATATATAATTCACTTTCAAATCTGTGATTATATTCAATTTACTGTGTAATAATTTTTCTAGTTTTAAAACTTTTCAAAAAATGACTTTTTTATTTCAAGAATTTTTTTATTGTCGAAATATGCTGTAAGTTTACCCGACATAAAACCATTGAGATTTCTATTTAATTAAACAAGAAAAAAATCATCTTTCATAATTTCTTTTACATGTAGATGTTTCTTTAAAGTTATTAGTTTTATTATTTACATCCTCCATAGGAGACCCATTTTGTTCAAACTCCGAAATTTATGTGCAAAAAGAAAATAAAGCAAAAATTCATACAATTGCAAAATTAATACATCAAGCCATCTTTAAAAATTGTTTGGTTGCCCTCTCCCGACCGACTGGCTAAAAATGGCCCGACTCAAAACTTTTTTTAACCTCCAGGAAGCAATTATTTATATTTTTTAAGGAATTCCGAAAAATAGATTTTGAAAATTCAGCATTGATTTTGAAATTTTCTTTGAAAAAAAAAAATCTCACCTACCTACCGACTCGATTTTCTTATCCTGAGTCGGGAGGGGGCAAGCAAACATTATATTAAAGTTAATTGGCCTCATTTAAGTAACTATGAACAGTATTCTAGCACAATAAATAGAAGGTCAAGGTCAAAACACGAACATAATAAAGGTTAAAAAGCAGAGATCATTTAAATTGTAAATGGGCACATCACTGATTTGGTTAGTGTCCCTTTCTCAGTTTATTCATGTTATTCAACACCATTTGAAGGACTAATTATTGATTAAAGAATTGTAATAAAGAAGCAACATTTACCTTTTTATGTCTTTATTTATAATTACAAAAAAATATTTTGAAGGTATTAATTTATTGGAATTCATTGTTATGATGAGCAGACATCAAGAATTGAAGGCACACATGCATGTAAAGGACAATCCACTCAAATTTTCAGAATAAGGTGTTTGGAGTTCATCTAGATGAAACATACATGAACAAGTTTCAGGACATTCTTCTGGATGGTCTAGGCAGTAAGTATATACAAGTATATGAATATAAAAAAAAATGTCTTTTTTCTTTCTGAAGTGTATATACTTGGCCTGGTATCTGAAATTAAAAAAATCATCATGTATTTTTCATAAGTACAGAAAGAATTCATGTTATCATGATACATGTACAAATGAAATCCTTTGAATTTTCATTATTCCTTAATTTCACTTTACAGAGACTCAAATGTTTTGTTTTCTTTTGTTTTTGTTTTTTTTTTCATGCACCAGTTAATATGTGTATTATTGCCATCTTTTTCAGGCCCAAAGAATAGTATAAACCAAAGATTACCAGGGAGTTTGCCATTGATCACTTGATGAGCCAGACACAAATTGAAGTGTTAGTGATATAAAGGAGAGAAAAATACTCACTTTTGAATCCATTCATAGATGTTGTTTCTCTCCTTGGCTTCATGTTTATTATGTCCAATATGAGTCATGACTTTTCTTTTGTACCAATTGACATTCAAACCATGGACACCAGCAGCACTGAGCATTTTACTTTCATTTCTTCTTCAGTCTGAATATCTATAAGATAATCTGAATAAATATAGGATAGACAATTCATTTACCTCTTGGAATATTTTTCAAATTTACTTCAAATGCTGAAAAACAGTTCAAACAAAATTACAAATATAATAACATAGTAAGTTGAGTGGTTTTACCCTGTAATTTCACTAATTTAAGATTTAAGTAATTTGAAATTTGATATTTTTACAACTTGTAATTCAAGTTTTATAACAATTTTCACAGTATGAATTTAATTTGCAAAGCAGAAGTTGTAAATTTTGATATCCATTGATGTGTCAAAGTGATTTGGAAGTCCCAACCACTTTGAAGTATTTTACCCTTGATATCTTGAATACTCGGATATCTCTAAAGTTTTTATCATTCCCATTGTTGGATAACGAGGTTTGACAACAAAGTTTGACTAATTGATATGATAAATATAGACATATATAAATTTTTTTTTAAATATTTTCTTGGCTTGTCAAGCTTGAACTGAAAATGTTTGGTTTGCCCCCCCCCCCCCCCCCCCACACACACACACACACTTGAATTGCTTCCCATGGGCCTGACCTCATAATTTAAAAATGATTTCAGAGATGACTGTAGACAAATTTCAAAAAAAAGAAAAGAAAAGAAAGCTACATACACATTTCTGCACCTACTTAAGGTTGAATTAATATAATGTACATGTTTGCATGCTCTTTTCTGTCTGATATGTCTTCATGTTCTCTTTCCTAATAATTAAATTCTTGTTTTCAAAATAAAAATGCTTAATTTAGTTTTATCATTGTTATTATAATTTTAAAAAAAAATAATGAAAGGGCTTTGACTTGCATTTCTTGCAAATGTAGAATATTTTCACATTGAAATTTAAAATGCAACTCAAGTCTCAAAAGTTTTATTAATTTGTTAATAATTTAATTTTGTTTGTATTCTTGCCTCTGATTGGTTAATATCCAAAAAGGAACACAAATTATATCTGTATAACCTGGTTTGGTATGGGGACACACCCCCCTGACAACCAGCTGAATTATCTGTATCCATGCAATCCTCTCATTTCCAGTCCCCGAGATTCATGGAAAATTCCAGATTTAATAAACGTACCTTTAACTTCAAACGATAATTCGCTCTTACCACATGTAAAAAGGCTGCTAGGCCTATGTATCAGTTTTTACCTCCCCTTGCTTCCCATCACTTCCGTTACTTCCGTTACTAAGGTTGTATTATTGAGCGGCAAATTTGAACTAATAAAAAGCAACGAAATTTTACACCCATAGTTATTTCATGATTTTAAAATTAAATTATAAGGAATGACTCTAATTCTTGGCCAAATTATTCGAGTATAACCCGCTTCGCGGATTATAAAGCGTAAACTGACCCAAACCAGGTTTGGGCAAGAATTAGAGTCATTCCTAAAATCATTGAAATTTCTGCCACAAAAGTTTTTATATTAAAAGAAAAATAAAGTATACAAATAAACATAATAAATAATAATAAAAAAAAATAATGTATTCCTTTCATGTTTAGGGATTTGTGTGATTACTACATGTACCTCTGTATTTTATTTTGGGCATCAGAACTGCTAAACAATATGGTAAAACTATTAAAAATACATAATATTGTTTGAAATCCCAGGGCCTGCATTTACCTAATGCCGATACAGGAAGTTTTCAAAGGGCAAGGTCAAAATCCATTGATGACGTAGTTTGATGCAGACAACACGTATATCTTGTTTTGCACAGTGTTTCAAATGTATAAACGTGGATTTGTATGTGCTTAAGAGTATAAATGTAACAGAGCCAGGAAGCGTTGTGAATTTATGATAGAAGTGATGTTTCACAAACTGTTTAACCGTGTTTACAACAAACTATAGTATACTGCCTAGTGTGTTGGATTTATTTGCGAGGCAAAGGTAAAGTTGTAATTAATTACAAATCTAAATTATTAGAACATACCAATCATACCAATACCAATACCAATACTCGCTTACCGATAGATCTATCATGCTATGTGTTGGTAAAGCAATGATGTCACTTGGTTGAATTTTGTTGTAGCCTCGATCGGTCTTTCCATTACATTGTCAGTTATGACTTCTGAAGTAAATATGAGATATAAATCTTACCTCTTTTCTTAGTAGCGTTAAGCACTTGTTCCCGGGTACGTCGAAGACGCTGTTTTGCTATTTTTTTGCTGATAAATATGTGTGTATTGGGCACTTGGAAAGTCTCGGGTTGTATTGCGTTCTGTACATCGGTAAGCACAGAGCATTCCCGAACGTGTGTTACGTCATTACGTCACTGACGGCGATGTACGGAAAATCACGAATAATGATGGATCCCCCTCCGAAGTGGTGGCCATTTTGGCAATGTTAAATCCCCGTAGACTTTGAATTTGCCGCCGTGTCAATACACTGGTTGAACTCGAGGGTTCGGATAAATGCAGGAAGTTTGGAAAAAAAATGATCTATCGATCGAACCAAGTTTGAAGGCCAAGGTATTTATACATTTTGAGATATGAGGCGAAAAGTGAGGTCCTTGGTACCGTGGGACAGACTATAATAAGATATTAGGTTCAGAAATAGCTGGACATTTGGTATAGACCAACAAAAATAACAACAAACAGAAAAGTCTGTACGTCAAACTGGCGACCGCTATTAACTGTGCAAGCAGTGAGGTATGTGATATATGGAGATTGTCTATTAAAATAATTAATTCCTTGACCTTTTCTTAATTGTAAAAGGTGAAAATAAAGAACAGCAATTGATCTCATAAAACTACAAACAATAAATTCTGTGAGCAGGACATAAACACGGACTTCAAAAATTCAGGCGCCTGGGAAGAGTAAGCATCTCCTGTTGACAGATCATACCTGCCGTGAGCCCTGTGTATAGATCAAGAAGACGGAGCAAACTGTAGTCAAATTTAGAACAAAAAACAAAGGTTTTTAAAAAAAAAAAATACCCAGTAATAGGTTATACTTGCTAATAAGGTCATTGTAACGACCATAAGATATACGAAATGCTGACTTTAAGCGAGGTTATTGAAATCTGTGTAACATCAATTTATGTGTGAGTAGCCTGCATCGTTTTAAGATTTGATTGTACACAAAGCATGCTCTTGAGTAGCGAATAAGTTGGGAGACCTTAACAACATATGCAGCGGAATATTACTACATAAATAAGGAAAGTTGACGATGGAAAAGCTGAAGTCATCTCGAGCTCGTTTGTTATACAATTTAGTTAATAGTTGGCTTTTATCGTTTATAGTCAGTAAACATCTAAATATGAAACAGATGAAACAGACTCTGTGGTGTCTTTTATTTCAAGTTCACTGGGATATACATGTATCTGTTTAAAGACAACTCGAGATCGAAAAGAAAATTAAATGATGTATCGAATTTAATGTTTATGCTGATTTATAAAAACGCACGATTGCAGAACAAATTCCAAAACGCGAAGAGCTACTTTTTTGACGTCGTCGTTGTTGCCCTGCTAGTTTTCTAAATGATTCATTTATCAGAGAAAAAAAAAATACTTATAGAAATATTTGAAATTTTTTAACAGTTCATTATGGTGCATGCTAATTTTTAACTAATGATTTTAGTAGAACAAAAAATATTGAAAATATTCGACTTTTTTTTTTGGGGGGGGGGGGGGGGAGATGGGCAACTCTTGTACATGTAATTTTTTATATTAAAAATCTTAAGCATTCGATGATAAAATGTAATCTTTTAACGAAGTTTATATCTATAGTTTTTAAGCATATTGAGATGTTATTGAGATGTTACATGTGCATAGCTTTCAATGTACAACTGACGTTGGTTATTAAGTCTGAGTAAAGTGATCGTAAAACGATAAAGGAAGAAAATAATCTTTGTAACTTGCAGCATCTAATTTTCATTTACATGCTTATGAACGTTATCTTTTTAAGTTTTTCAAACCACATTTTTTCTATTTTGACTTCAGCGTGCGCCTTGGTTTTTGACAGAATGTAAATTAACAATTAGCTCTCATTTTGTAAATTTTGTATCTACTGCCACTGGAGGCCTGTCATGCATTAATTTTTTTTCAAGTTGGACAAGAACAAATTCCAGAGAGAGATATGCATATATCTCATTAACCAGAACTTCTTTCTTGACCTTGTCTCTGGTGATAAATAATCGGCTACCGTTGCAGTCCGCAAATTTTCAATGCACCTTGGTTGATCGTAAAAATAAAATTTACGGAATTTATCTGTAAAGCCTAAATTGCTATCAATAAAATTTATAAAAAATATTTTCAAATCCGAAAATAAGGAGGTATTATAAGCCTATTTAATCTATTGTCGCACTAACATTAAACATCAAATATGAATAAACATGGTACATTGTAGGCTAATGAAGAATTTTTGACGAAAACAGTTTAAAGCCAAACCACGGGTAAAACATTGATCGTAAATTATAATCAACATGTGAACTTAGAATGATATTGTTTCTGTGTTGCATAATCTACTATTATTCAACCCGAACACTGGTCAGTTTTGCCATTAAAATAAAAATCAAAACATGATACTTGTGGATAGATAGACGTGAAAAAAAACATTATTTCTAGTCTGTTTTTAGCAAAACATTTACCTCTAGAATAAAAACAAAACTGTGGAGACACAAAGCTGTAAACAAAAATATTCAGTTTATGATACTAAACGATTGTGAAAAAGTCGTTGTCGGCTTTTTGCTAATAAAAAGAACTCAGCTTGGTAATCGGCAACATTGATAGCGAAGAGAAATTTACCTCTTATCTCGGTTGCATCATATTTCATAATTCCACATCCTGCTATTCTACCAGAAGAGCAAATCGAGGATTTCATCGGTACAATACATAGGCGTCGGAAGCAAATTGAAAGTGGGGTGGCTAATTGAAAGTCGGAGGGGGGCTTAACCAACGAAAAAAAAGGTATGTCCAATTTTCAATGCCTATATTATGTCTATCTTTGCAAAAAAAGTGGGGGGGGGGCTAAGCCCCCCTACCCCCCCCCCCCCCGTTCCGACGCCTATACAATATTTTTGTTTTTTCAGCATGTCTTTATTGTTAAAACAAAATGTTGAAAACTTCTTTGAAGTCTAATTAACTGTATTTACAATATTTGTTGACTTAAACAAAAGTGGGTGAGTTTTTATAAGTATATTTTGTTATATTTTTCATAATTGAGATGGAATTTTATCGATGTTCTTCTGGTTTACGTTTTATGTTAACAAATGGGTGTTAAGTATTTCTACGCGGTACTGAAAAGAAACGGATTGTATGGAGGCTTCGAAAAAAATTAAACTTGGAATTAAAGAATTAACTCTTTGTGCTTTCAATCAAAACATAAATGTTTCGAACTTTTATTCAGTTTGTGATTAAAAAGGCATGGCATTTCGCCGATAAATTCTGAAAAAAAGTTTAATTCTACAATGTTCTTTTTTGTGGAATGAAATTTTGAAACTTTACATTTTCTTTTATTATTGGAAAACCAAAATTTTGCCAACCTATATAAAAGTATGTAAATTTAAAACCTAGTTATTTTAATATGTTATCTTAATGAAAATGGAATTAAGAAAAAACTCTAGATTTCTAAGATTTTGAATCATTGAGGTAAAAAGTCGTAGAAGCAAAAAATGAAATGGACTCTCAGCTCGACGTTCAAAATATGGAAGCTTAACGATTTATTCGCAATGAAATTTCTTTGTGTATCCTTCATGATAATCCTTTTTTAGATAACAAAAATACACATTGCTTTTTTTAAACAAAAAAATTTTTATTTTATGTTATGATCTTTACATTGTAATTCGAACTATTAATACTCTTACTCTGACAAAAAGTCCCAGAGTAAGGTTTTATCGTAAGTAAATGCATGTAATGTCATTAAAAATGTCAAAATAAATGAAAAATAATGTAATCAAAGTATCAAAGATTCATACATTTCAATATCAGAATGGGTGTTTTATTGCACAGTATGATAGTTAGTATACTTAACCATAGTTACCATAGTAAATTAAACTAGAGTGAACTTCAATTACCCATAAAAATTGTTTTAGTGCTGGTAATCAAATTGTGGTTTATGGTTTTTTTTTATGTATTTTCTTTCTTTAAAATTCCAAATCACAAAACATTAACTAATACTTGATAGTTGAACATTAATTTGGCCCCTGACAACCATCTATCAAGCGTAAACTTCAGATGAAAACGGTCCTAACAAAGATTTTATGATTAATGTGCTGTAGCAATTTAAGCAAAATCTATTTAAATCTCTTTCAAGCTAAGAAAAAAGAATGGATAACATATTCATGTCAATAATACCCATCACACTTCTTAGGCCTCATTGGATGATCTGCATATTGAAATTACAAGAATCACTTGTGAAACCTGAAAATACAAACTAGATATCAAGAACAGTCAAGCTGAAACCATCACATTGTGAATATATGAATTATGGACTTGGAATATATATATGCAATTACGAAATAGGCATTTTGCAAAATACTCTAACAAAAGATATTTATGATAATGATAAAAAGTAGGAAACAACATGAAGAGACCTTATTTTATCGAAATGACTTGAAATAGATAGCAATTTCGTATAGACAAGAAGTACGCAATAAGCAATTCTTTTAAATCTAATGTTACCTCCAATACAAAAAGTATAATCTCAAGTACAAGGACAGTAGTAGTATGAGCTGTATTTTTTTCCTCCAGTTCCTCCTCCAGTTCTTTCAAAGCTTGAAAACACCCCTGTGAGAAAGATTGATTGATTGATTGTTGTTTTACGTCCAGTTCGAGAATTTTTCACTAATATATAGAGACGTCATCATATACCGGTAAAGGGCTTCAAATTTAGATCTTTACTCGGCACTCAGGGCCATTGAGCAGTGAGGGATTTTTAACGCCTACCGTGACACGGGGCCTCGGTTTTTAAGGTCTCATCCGAAGTGCCGAGCGCTTGGCGAAGGAATAGCTGCTACATCTTTTTATCGACTTAGGTCATTTTCGGCCGAGGCTCGAACCCATGACCTTCCGATCACGGAGCGAGCTCTCTACCGTTTGAGCTACCGTGGCGGTCTGTGAGAAAGAAGTATAATGTCATAGGAAAATAATGGTTTGGATTTTAAACCTTATACACAATTGAAAACAAATCCATTACACATGTGATATAATAAGCTGCAATGCATATATAAACCAATATATATAAAAGGAGGTACTTTTTTCAAATTACATATTACACTTTATAGAATGTCCCTTGTCCCGTTAATAAGATCACACAGCAAATATACGCCATTGATGCATAACTTGCATAGCGTGTTTGAGCTTTTAACTCTTTTTTACGTGTAAAGAGTTTTATAATATTGTTTTCTCTTAATAGTAGTTAAAATATTTTGACTTATTAATATTTGAAAAATAATTGATACAGTAATAAAAATCTGAAGGTTCATGTAATTCTGAACATTTTTTTTAAATATCATTTTAAAAATAATAATTATACTTTGGCTGATATGACCGGTTTACAGGGGATGCTTACTCTTCTTTGACACCTGGTCTTACCTCTGATATTTTCAGGGTCCGTGTTTTTGCTCTGTCAGAAGTTGTATTATTTACAAGATTCATGCAATTAATCACTATTCGTTATCTTCGGCTTTTTTACATGTAGGTAGATATACTTATTAAAGTCAATGTTTGATTAAGTGTTATACCTTTTTGTTATACGTTCCAGATTGAACATCTGCGTAACATGAAGATGGTGCAGAAGTATAATTAGTTTCAGTGACTCCAACACAGCAAGCCTTGGGGATCTCAGCATTTGTCGACTGACATTCTCCTTTGGTAGTGCACCAAGGGGTCGTGTCAAAATCATTTGTAGTTGATTCCACGGGATTTACCGCACAGCAATCCAACTGAATGTTTTAAATAGAGTATAATAAGATTGCAATAAACCAGTAATGTATTTATTTTTAACAAGTGTGATTGTTTTTAAACGTTTACTTAGATATGAAACTGGAGACGTTTCTTCATTCTTTTATTTCAGTCTAAATTCTCTGAATTCAGTAATAAGATAACAAACAATAATCTCAAGCCCCATAGCCCTTGAAACAATATAATTTCGGCAGGTTGAACCAGGTGAATTTAAAAAATTGGCATCCCTGTCAACCAGTCACGCTTGTTGTATGTGGGTTTTTTTAAACCTCGGGCAAACGGGAAAATCTGTAGACAGTTCAGTGTGAGAAAGCCTAACAATTTGTATGAAAACTTAAGTCAACATCGATTTAATGATGCATTGTTTTTGCTAACAAGGTAACTGTATCGACCATAGAATCTCTTATATGTAACTTTTAACAAGACTGCTGATATCCTTGTTTCATCAACCTATTTGTCAAAAGCTTGCCTCGTTTGAGAAATTGTTCTTACGTAGAGCATTCCCTTGCGTAAAAAATCAACTGGGAGACATAAACATCCTATACAGATGATTATTTTATATTTTACAATATGATATATTAAATGGTTACGTTAATAATATATGGCTACGTGAATAAGAGAAGTTGACAATGAAAAAAGTTGAGGTCATCACGTTTTCACAAAGATTTGATGTAAAGTTACCATTAACGTTTTTTTAATTAAAATATTGAAAATGAAGCTATGAAGTTAAAAAGCCTGGAGATTATTAGTTCATTTTTCCCATTATTGGTATTTTATTGAATACATATCAAGATTCTTTCCTTTTTTGATTCCGAAATTGCTTACAATTTTCAGTTGATCGCAGTTTTCCTGCAGTTTTACATTGCTTTTGATTATAAACGTTGAATAGATTTGAAATAAAGCAAAATAAAAATAATAAAGCATACATACAAACATAAACATCTTATTCCATTCATTTGAGATGTCATTTCCACCGCTTATTGAATCATTCACAAAGTTTTTATGGAGAGATCCAACCAATTGAGTTTTAATTACAAGTTGTCCCCCAATCTACAAAAAAATAGTATAGTAATTCATATATATTAGAATACGTGAAATACTGGAGATTTAATATTCAGTTTACGAGTGGTATTAATTTATGTATGCAGTCACGGATTTTTCTCGGAAAGAGTTTTCAAAGCTTACTTATTTAAAGTGCATTTTAGACTTGCAGTGAAAATTGAAGAATTTTACATAACTTTTTACCTGCGGATTGGACAGAAATTGTTATTTCGCAGAATTGTAACCCAATGGAAAATTCATTTACAACACTTCTGAAATTTGTTTCCCCCTCGATACACTCATAAACATACATACACTTTAGGACAATTTAAAAGCATTCATGTTTTTAAAATTATTTCTTTTCTATTAATTTAACCAGAAATAGTGAAATTGCTGCAAGTAGATGTAATATTGTTTGGGAGAAATATTTTTGTTAATTTTAACTTGATATTTTCCATTTCATAATAGTTTGAAATTAAAACAAAAATGTTTTCAACGAATTGGTATAAAATCGGATATTTGATGCATCGCAATATGTTAATGAAAGAGAGTAATTCAATAAGGAAATTCTTCTTCTATATTTCATGGACAAACCTTTTCAACTTTTGCTTACAATTTTGAAATACCATATATATTTAATATGTCTATTGTGTTTTGTTAGGATCATGTTAAACTTTACAAAACAATTGACAAAATAACTTACTTTAGTGTTAAATTTATTCCACAGGACAAAGCCCGTTATTTTCATCACAAATGACACAAGAACTAACACTGCTAACACTGCGTACTGTAATATGAAGAAAAAAAATCGGGTGTCTTTTATCAAAGTATGTCATATTTACATTCAATTCGTATAATTTTCTTTATGAAATGCATTTGAAATCGACAACATACAATCCCTAAAACACGAACGAAACGTTGTCATGATCTTTTTATATCGGAATATTATATAGGACATACACTTACTTACACACAAAAATAAATATAGTTATATATATATATATCATTTTATTGGGGGGGGGGGGGTCTTTTTTTTCTCTCAATATATTCTTTTGCGTTATCTAATATCCCACGACATAACTGCCCTTACGTCTACTAGCCATATCAGTTCTGAAAGGCGCTAAACATATAGATAATAACAATGAATGAAAATAACATAATTAGAGAACGTAAATATATGCATTTTATCCTTATTTTTGGATGCTGTAGGTATTCAATTTGTCGATACGGCCAGGTCCTGTTATACGACATCCAAAATATGAACTCGATGCTTTAATGTCAGGGGAATTTTTAACATTTCAATATGGCATTGAGAGAAAATTGAATTCTGTTATAAAATAAAATATGCTGAAATCAAAACTTTACTAGAAAAGACCCCTGTTAAGAAATGTATGTACGAAAACTAAAAAAAACATATATCGATTACATCAACATCAAATTTGAGGTTGGAAAAACTAAAGCACTTAACACTCTTAAAAATACATTAAGATCAAAGAACATTTCTTAATTTTAATAATTAAGTTTATAAATGATTTTTATATCAATGTACTCACAAATATAGTCAAAACTTTTTCTTTATTATGAGCGCTATATAACCCAAAAGCAAAATTAAATATTCCTGCTATGAAAGAAAACACTCCAACAGCAATAAATACATTTGAAAGTACATCAGCTTGTGATTTTAAGTCAAAAAATCCATCTTTCAATATGTTCAAGACAATTTCTGTTTCCTCTGGTTTCATAAAGGTACCGATGATTAAAAGAACGATTCCAAGCACCTGAAAAAAATACATATATTAATAATCAATCCGTCAGAGTTTAAATTTGTTCTTTGTACTCTATATTCTTATGTTTATCAGAGAGGTACAAAAGTATCACAAAAACATGTACTGAACTTTCAAAAGAAATGTCGCATTAAAAATGTATATATTTATTAATCCTTTCTACATGTATATAATATCATTCAAAAAATAATAAAAATCACTACAAAATTATAATTATAGAGCAATCTCTTTTCATACTTACAAAACAAATTACAGCGATGACGCAGTTTAAGAAGACTAAGATCTTTACACGCTTGTTTAATTCACCAGGCATTTCAATCATCTGTTTACAATAATATAAATTTATAATTAAAGAAAAACATGGAATACCATCAATCAATCACTGATATCGTTATCTTCTGCTTTAATTCAACTATCAGATATATCGATGACGTTTTATCTATTAATAGTATTCATTTTTATTCTAAAATACTTTGATTAAATATATCACTTTGAACTAAAAATAAAAGACTAAAAATCACAGATTCTTACACATTTCTTTCATTTCTGGATAGTTTACTAAAAAGAGATGTAATTGGTAACTTGACAAGAAAGTTTTATGACAAACGTGATTACAAACTTTTCAATCCACAAATGTTCTTATTTATGTAGCAATCTACTATTATATTGCCTGTATATGGCATTTATGTCTCCCAGTTAATTCAAGAGCATGCTCTTCGTACGTACATTTTCCAAAAACAAAGCAAGCTATTGACGAATATGTTGATGATACAAGAATATCAACAACCTCGTGAGCTTGTCAGCAAATACAATCTATACTAAATTAAGGCACAACTGTGTACTGAACAAGATTTATATAAACGCAATACCACTGACAATCCTTATTGCTCTTGTGGTTAACAAGAAGATGCCTACCATTTTTTTTTCTTCGTTTGCAAAAATATCTTGCTCGAAATGCTCAAAATAATCTTTTTGACTATCTTTTTCGACTTGATTTAGACATCATAGATGTACACTTACTACTCTGGGGCAACGAAAACCTTTCATTAGAGTTAAACATATTGGCATTTTCTGCCGCTGTTCATATAAATGAATCGTGTTGATTTAGATAGGTATATTATTGACCGTTTTACTTTCGTGTTTGTTCTCACTTTGCATAACAATTATTATGTGTTTTGTCAAGGAGAGGAACTAGTAATTTGATAGAACTTGTTTCTGATCCTTTAGATTGTCAATTACATATGTTCAAAACAAATACAATCTATCGTTAAGTCTAATGTCGACTGAGGTTTTTCATACAACTTTTACAATATTGTAATTGGCCGTTCTTTTTACAATAAATAATTTTCCCGATCATGACAAGGAGCACATAATGGGTGTGACCAGTAGTCAGGGAATGCTTACCCCTACATAGCACCTGGTCCCACCTCTGATGTTTAAAAAGGTCCGTGTTTTCCCTGCTTCCGATTTGTATTGTTTTCAATACGTTAAGCTTGATTGATATTCGTTATTTTCATTATAATTTCTACAAACTCTTCGATCGTTTTGTGATTAAGAGATCCCGAGTTCGAGTTTCGTCCCCACAACTGCATCAAACCTAAAGAGGGATTGTTCCTTCGCAAAGCGCCGAGCTTTGAATTGAAGTCACGAATCTTTTGAATGACGCCCCATGTCAAGATATGTGCTTGCACGATAAAGGTCTCCCACATAAAAATATATCAATTTATGTAAAACTGTCATTTTCAACAGCGAAATCCTTTGTCCCATACTTTACACAGGCGGGATATATGCTACGGCTGTAAACACCATGCATTGGTCAAAATTTCACCTTAAAGCAGGTGAGGTATCTAAACTATATGAGTGATTTCTGACGTTAAACAACCTAATATCATTCTTGCATACTCTTGTACAAACCATTTATCCTCTATTGTTATTGAACCATGTGCGCATTATAATATATATATAGAGAGAGAGAGGGGAGGCATGGTTTGAATGACCCAATTTTTAAAATATTGTGATTTTTTCATTTAATCGTGACTATTTGCAGTTTGAATTTTTCTTCAAAAAATTTTAAGTCATTATTTTAATTTATGAAGCTTTTAACTTTACATGAACACAACAGAAGAAGACTTTCAAATAATGTAGCAAAGTGATAATTAGTTACTCATCAGAACACAATAACAGGTATAAGCAGAATAGTAAGTTAAGATGTAGATGTGAAACATAAGATGAAGTTAATATTTTTCACAAAGACTGCTTATCATAATAAATAATCTTCATTTTTTTTTTATTATTTGTAAGCTAAAATGCTTCATGCATGTTTAACAATGTTCAAAAGGTAAAAATACCTTTTTTAAAAGAAATTATATTTGATGACAGAAAAGAATAAATGTATTCAAATAGAGTTTGTAATCTTTGGGATTTTAGTGTTGAATTTTTAAAATATTAAAGTCAGAGTTCAAACAAAAATACTTCTTATTTTTGCCATCAGGAATACATATATCAGGATTTTATATGTAAACAATATGCAAAGAAATAAATTCGTCGGTTCAACGTTTAACTCATTATTCAGTCATATAGCGGAACTGCTCTACAACATGAAAAAAAAAATATATATTTAGTCATTGATTTAAAACGAAAAGAAAGTAACATTCAAAGTTCAAAGGCTACAATTATCACAGTTTACATATAATTATACATATCTTAAAATATGTATTAAAACTAGTCAACCGAAGATTTACCTGTAGGATTTTCTGCATTGATAGATGATAGATTGATGGAATACTCCTATTCTTACAAGGATTCGCAAATATCGAAACGGGTTTTTTAAAATTTATTTTCACAAGCTGGAACTTGTTCATTGACGTAATATCCTGGTTTTTTAACTATTAATTTCGACAATACAATTATAATGAGCTGAATTCAGTCCTAAAAATTCAAAAAATGAAAAATATCATATTGACTTAAATAAATCTGAATTTGGTTACAAACTAAAATTTGTGATAAAAATAGTTTTTGATCTTATCTGAACTCGATCAATACTTTGTTGTGTTGAGTCATTTCAGTGAGGTATTCCTATTTTGAATACCTCAAAACGAAAGCAAATCTTTTAAAAGTTCCGTGGCGTTGCGTTATTAAGATCAAGACCAGCACTGAGTCGGCATCATTATTGAACTGAATTGAATTTTGTCGCCGATAAATTGTGTTGAAGAAT